GTCGAAGTAGATGCCCCTTTCCCCTCCCCCGCTATCTTTCCAAGAAAAACAACCATTCAGATTAATGAAGCAAAAGTTGAACCCGTTGTGAGCTTCCATGTTTACTTGTATGGTAAAAAAGAAACATTGGAAAATTACATGTAAGGGTAGGAAACACTAATGCCTTCTAATACGCGGATAGGGAAACCTGGCGCGGGAGCGGAATCCATGTCGCCACGGAAACATTCTGCTATGAGAAAATGTCGGAATTCCTCCCTTTGAGAATATCACGTAAAGGGGCTTCCCACTCATCGTCCTGTGAATTCCAATCATCATCGTAATTAATTTTCCGTTAAAGTAGGTAATATTTGAAGTCTTTCGATTGGACCTCATGTCTGATGCGGGGATACCTTAATTGCTTCATTACTTGAAAGCGTCTTCTTTTAATTCGAAATATTACAGAAATAATTGAATTTCTTAATCTTTTTGCGAATTGCCCTCGTTAATTGATGGGATTTTGGTGGAACTGCATCACATAAAACTGCAATTATTATTAAGTCACGGGATTATTCAGCACGTCTTCTTACTACTCTGGAATAAGATCGCGACACGTTCTCGCCTCTCCGTCTCATTCAAGATATAGTTCAAGGAGAGGACATCATTTTATTAATTTACTTTTCCTTGTCCAGAGAATTTAGGCCTCGGTACCCATGACAAGTAGATGAACGTGCAAAAAAGCTAGCATTGTTTCAGAGTAGTTTCTTTTCTTTTACCACGGGATGAAGAAGAAGTCATTCTCTTAATTTTCCAAAAATCCGAGAAGGAAATACAGGCGCAATGGCTTTTCTCATTCAAGTTCCAAATTCTTTTTCACGAATCATCATCATGTCATGCTTGTGGGAAATATCGGGGAAAACGATGCGCACTGCCATTCGTGTCATGAGTACAATGTCCAGGTAGCGTCTCCAGGATGTCAATTTTACATGATCCGTTTGATGATGAGGATTTTTGGGAAAATATTCAAACAAGCATTTCCAAAGCGGATGAGGAAAAAAATCATTCACTTAAGGGTAAGCTCTACCCTTAATTTTCAACTTGAAAATCGAAAAGGGCTCACTTGCAAAAGTGCTCCCTATCACACCCTATAAACAATATATCAATGAATTACGAACTTGAAGCACCTTCCATTGAGTGAGATACCGAGTTCATTATCAAGTACTAGTCAGTACTTAATATCTTTATCTCAAAACAGCAAAATCGATCACAAAACCACGAAATCAACCCGAAGAGATTTTCATCACAAGCCAATACACCAAGTGGCTCTTCGTAAATTTGGCGCGTTTTCATGGAAATCGAGCAAAACTTTTGTGGCATAGAGTCCCATTATAATGGTCTGGTTACATTCTCCAAAACCAGGTGGCGAACGTATCCCGAGCAATGGAGGAATAGGTGTTGTAAATGAGGACCTGACCCCCTCTTGGTTCCTTTTAGCCGGTCACCCAGAATGGTTGTGGCGAAGGCTTTCATGGACGTGAAGAGCAGAGGGTGAGCATTCCCATTCGAGGAATCCACGTCAAACAGTGGAGGAAGGGAAGATGAAGCACGAAGAAACCAGACAATGAAGGCCTTTCCCTTCCATGGCGTGGAAATGACGACTTCATTTGAAAATGAATTCTGTATTCAATGACCTGTCCACGTAAACGGCTGGGTATGATCCGCTGCATATAATCGGGAGTGTAAACTCTCTAATGCGTCGTGTACAGTTTGTTCAAGAATGTTCCTGCGATACCGTGTCAAAGACACACCTTGGCCTGCAACACAGTGGCAATAGGAGCTGATAGAGAATCTAAGCTATCTCTTAAGCTCTGATTTGAATAGAGATAAGTTAATTAAATGGGACGGATATCAGGTGTATTCCTCGGTGAGCCATACAGCATTCCACGATGAAAACAGCCCCGTTTTTCTGGCCCAATCATGGTCCTCATTTCATCAAGAAAGTTTCCAAAGGTTTCCTAAAGTGAGACCACCATTCATCATCTTCAAATGTACTGAAATCCATGCATGAGAGAAATCACATCGATTAGAGTCATGTTCCCTCCCCGTTCAGTATCAACCCAGTCCGGTCTCTTCGATGGGCAAATGAGAAAACCTACAACTGCAAACATATTTCAGCAGAGGAAGTTTCACTTGGTGTCCCCTTCCATCTTTGAGGCAGTATTCATGTCTTTCTTAGAGAATGTTATTTTATGTATTTTATATTGAAAACTTGCTTTCGCAATATCACAGACAGGTCAGAAAAGAGAGAACATCCTGAATAAAGTCGTTCTTTCCATGAGGAAAAAGGAATTACGAAAGAATTTGTCTTTTGCTGTCTGGTTTCTCATTGACTCCCGTCCACTGTCCGGATATGAATTCCTTTTGGGGGAATGCTCACCCTTGCCTCATTACGTCCATGAAGAAGGTTTTCCCTTCCCAGCACTCGGATTCAGGATCAAGTCCGTTGGTATTCTAGGAAACACCATCCGTGAAGACGTATTGGGTAACAAGTGATGCAATACATTTATTCTATTCCTATCACCTAAATGTAGAATTCTCTCTCCCTATAACTTCCCCTTGACTGACAATTCCCTCGTTCACTTTCCTGTCCCCTGGCGAAATTGCTGGACCTCATCGATGACATGGTGGAGGTGCTGAAGTATCCTTCCTGGAGAGGACATTATGTCTAAAGGAGGAGGATGGTCGTATTCAGGGAAGAAACGGTGTCAAGGAATCTCGGAGTTAGAGTAATTGTTCTGAGGAAGAGTTGAAAGAGGGAATCATGAGATTGTTGCATTGTGGCCATGAGCACGTTAGGATTCCTCTAATGATGGAGTCTCCCCACCATAAAAAGAAACATTCCCCGGCATAGAGTGATCTCTGTTCCTTACAATTAAAGAAATTAAGGAACAGGAGCCTGCATCACCGTGCTCAAGGAACACAATGTCAAGTAAGGAGGGAGAGAAAATAATTTTTGCCTCTTAGTAAATGGAAACGAGGTTGATGACCATCGCGGGCCTGTCACTTCTCATGGCAGGCCTTACATGGATAGAACAGCATGCTACTACACTCTTAGAAAATTCCGAGCGTTTGGGGAGTAAAAAGTGAGCACACGGTGAGCTTTTCGAATTTACTCTCCTATTACTCACCAAATGCTCCCTCATCGCTCTTATTGAAGGGAACAACTTCAAGTTCCTCGCCAGGCCACTAGATGGAGGTAAGGGTCTCGCTTTTCGCACAGTACACACAGGTTCCCTTCCCTCTTTCCCTGGAATCGTCCCTCGCAGGATTGTTTAGTACCTTGCAATATGTCTCTCCTTGTCTCATTATAAGAATCAATAAACACGGACATTCCATCATTTGTTATCCACATATTCAAGACGTATTCATAGAGTCCATGCCATAAACAAGCTCATATTCCTATTGAGAACCCCCTTGGAACACAGATGCTTTTATCCGCATAGGAGATCTAGAATGTATAGAGAGTGTCTGTGAACTTCATTCCCTCATACCTTAATAAATGAGGTGATAAGGAGTGATATCCCGGACTACTCCACGGAACCTATAAAGGTGATCCATCTGACCTGTGATGTAATCAGTACAGTCAGAGGTAGGTCAACGCATGTACGAGAGATATAGCGACACACAGTATATAAGGAATATTTCGTATTTGCACGACATCCCTATCACTTTCTGATGGAAGCGTGTTTACTCTATTGCTTTTACTTTATTGCGAGGAGGAGCGCAATTTTACTCCTTCATGATGGAGTAAACTTGTTCCTTTCCCAGAGTGAAAGGGGGGTGAAACTGAAGTTAGCTATTTTACTCTCTTTTTTGTGAAAAATCGCTCCCCTTTTTCTAAGAGTGTACGATCTCAGAGTATGTTATCTGCACTGTGATGCGGCTTTTTCGTGTTATCATGATTCATCTTTCAAATCTCATTTGTGTGCATCGAGGAGCATGTCTTAAGTAGAAGAAGGTGCAAGAGAATTGGAGTGATATACACCAAGTTAGTTAAATATGAATTTTTTTTTACTTCGGATGACATAATGTTTTGAAACGGTATGACCACGTCGATGTCTCAAAGCGATGAATGCAGAACGCAGAAATTGAAGGGAGGTGCAAAACAAGGGGGAAGATTGTTCAACTCGATCAGATAAGAGACCCTATGGAGGTAGATGGTAGAGGTAGATTTAAGAAATGCTTCCCGTAGGAGTACGGAGGCCTGAGGCGAAAGAGGGGCGGGGAGACGCTATACGAAATCTATGCAACTCCTTCCCGTAGCTCAATTTTCAGGACGGAGAGGATAACCCCTTAAAGTAATGATTTAAAATGCAACCTCTGCAAGCTTAAAATGTCAAAAAAAGGAATGTCAAAAAAAGGAATGGATTAAACCGAAAAAAAAGTGCAAGAAGTGCAAGAAATGTATCCAGATGGTAATTCAAAGTTTATATGCACTAGGTCCAGCATTTTTACGAAGAAAAATGAAAAATTTTAAACACATGTATACATTGCTAATGAATTAGGAACTATATATTATTTTAAATGTGGAATTTTAAGCTACGTACCATGGTCTTTCTCCACACAGGGAATTCTTCATAAACGACAATACGGAAGTAGTGGAGCTCCCCGAAGGATTCTTCGGGAATCTTTCCTTCCGGCGGATGTGGATAAACAACACTGTAGTGAAGAAAGTCCATCGATCAACCATACTTCCCTCACAAGACTCTCTCCAGGATCTCTTCATTCAACATAGTCGCCTGAAATACTTCCCTTTCGAAATCCTTCATCAATACCAACATCTAAAAACACTCTCGCTCTACAACAATTTGTTGGCCTCTGTCCCGTCCTTCAAATGCGACAGCCTAGAAATACTGTATCTCCATAACAATAATATCACTAGCGTAAAGTTCGACGGATGGGCGACACCTAAATTGAGAGAACTTCGTCTTGATAACAATTTTTTTACTTCGGTCCCGTCCTTCATGAGCGACAGTCTAGAAAGACTCGATCTCGACAACAATAAGATCACAAGTGTGGAGTTCGATAGTTGGGCGACTCCAAAATTGAGGAAACTCTATCTCTACAGCAATTTGTTGGCCTCTGTCCCGGCCTTCAAGAGCGACAGCATAGAAATACTCTATCTCAACGACAATAAGATCTCGAGTGTGGAGTTCGATGGATGGACGACACCCAATTTGAAAAAACTCTATCTCTACAACAATTTCTTGACAACTGTCCGCGATTTCAAGAGCGAAAGTCTAGAAATACTTCGCCTTGATAACAATGAGATCTCGAGTGTGGACTTCGATGGATGGTCGACTCCCAAATTGAGAGAGCTACAGCTCTACAACAATTCCTTGACCTCGGTACCGGCCCTCTATAGCAACAGCCTAGAGTTACTCGGTCTCAATGACAACATGATCAGGGTTGTGGAGTTTGATGGATGGACGACACCCAATTTAAAAAAACTCTATCTCTACAACAATTTCTTGACATCTGTCCCGAACTTCAAGAGCGACAGCCTAGAAATACTGAGTCTTTACAGCAATAAGATCACGCACCTGGTGTTCGATGGATGGGCGACTCCCAATTTGATATCGCTCGATCTTCACGACAATTTGTTGACCTCGGTCCCAGCCTTCAAAGGCGACAATCTTGAAATGCTTAGTCTGTACAGCAACAAGATCTCGAATCTGGAGTTCGACAAGTGGGCAACACCCAAATTGAGGGAACTGCATCTTCACAATAATTTATTGCCCTCTGTTAAGAACTTCAAGAGCGAAAGTCTAGAAATACTTCGCCTTGATAACAATGAGATCTCGAGTGTGGAGTTCGACGGTTGGGCGACACCGAAATTGACGCGGCTCGATCTCGACAACAATTTGTTGGCCTCTTTCCCGGCCTTCAAGAGCGACAGCATAGAAATACTCTATCTCAACGACAATAAGATCTCGAGTGTGGAGTTCGACGGAAGGGCGACTCCCAATTTGAAAAAACTCTATATCCACAACAATCGGTTGACTTCTTTGCCAGACTTCAAGAGCGACAGCCTAGAAATACTCTGGCTCTTCAACAATTTGTTCACCTCTGTCCCGGTATTCAAGAGCGACAGTCTAGATACACTTAGTCTTCGTGACAATATGATCGCGACCGTGGAGTTCGATCGATGGGTTACTCCTAAATTGAGACATCTGGAACTTCTAAACAATTTGTTGACCTCTGTCCCGGCTTTCAAGAGCGATAGCCTAGAGATAATTGATCTTCATAACAATGAGATTGCACGTGTAGAGTTCGACGGATGGGCCACTCCCAAATTGAAGATTCTTTATCTCTCTGAGAATTTGTTGACCTTTGTCCCGGCATTCAAGAGCGACAGCTTAGAAAGACTCAGTCTTCACACGAATAAGATCACGAGTGTGGAGTTCGATCAATGGGTTATTCCCAAACTGAGGCATCTAGAACTTCAAAATAATTTGTTGACCTCTGTCAAAGCCTTGAAAAGCAACAACTTAGAAATACTCGATCTCAGTGACAATAAGATCTCAAGTGTGGAGTTTGATGGATGGGCGGCTACTAATTTGAGGGAATTCAGCATTGGTGAGTATTACCTATTTTATGATATTGGTTAATCCAAGATAGTGCCTGTTTCTTTGAATACACTGATTCTAAGGAAAGAAAAAAACGCTTCTTAGAATGGCAAGTTATTCAAGTGGCACCTAACAACCACTAATTTCCGAATGCACCTTTCCGACGAGAGTCTCCACAATTTCGCTTCATCAGGAAATCATGCAGCACCATATGTTGACAGAGAAACTGATAGGTTTCCTTGCATTTTCCCCCATCCGGTTTGCTTCTCGTCGTCGAACTTTCAAGGCGCGCGAAAAAATTGTTCTCTGTTACGGAATATATTTTTAAAAAGATTTGGGCTTCCACCTCAAGTTTGGAAAACGTGGAAGGTTTTCACGTAATTTTCGTGAACATGGTCAAAATGCAAATGGGAGAGAAGCAATTTACACAGCGGAAGTTTAACGAAAAGAAACAGGAGTTGAGTTTCATCATTTCTTGATCGGCTATATGGGGAAAGATGGGTCTTTTGCACATTAAGGTAGGAAGGATCTCAGTCTTCGAATATAGCATCAAAACTGATACTATACAAAATCTAGTTTGGGTAAATGAATAGGAAATATTTAAAAATTCCCTATAACACCACCAATGCGGAGCCCTGCTGGCCTCCCGCCAAACTTTCGAAGCCGTCCAATTGATGAAAGCATGTATTGCGAAATGTGAATCTTACGTCAAAGCTTGCCTCAAAAGACAACATGGACTTTCATTATATCTATGAAACATTCCTAAAGTTACTATTTACCATCCCTTCAGCATGTTTATAAACGATGCTTCTCAAGAGATTTCGAGCATCGCATGACTTCATTCAGGAAGGAGCAATCATGGTCGGGGATTCAGCTCTAAAAAATTAATGCGATTTTCTCCACTCGTCGATCCTTTATTTTATTAGACAACCAGTCGAAACTCAGAGAACAATTTACTGAATTTCATAGTCAGGCCTAAACCAAACGCGATGCTCTTCCTAAGTCCTTTGAAAGAGACATCCGCCATCATGCCATCCGAGGTTTTTCTCTAGTTATACTGGAGCAAACCTGGTAAGGGTTAATGTTGTGAGATATTCATGTTTCACTCGGACATGAGGCAAGACCAAGATGGGTAGATTCCCATCCTCTTCCATTTTAAATTAATGCTAACTTTGAAAAGTAACGATTAAAAAAAAATTGAAGGGCGAGAAGAGCGTAGCCTCAATAATGCAATAAATTTGTGAGTGGTATTTTTTGAGAGCGTTAGAATGTGTATTGGCAGGGATGAAACCGATTCAAACGATTCAACTAGTATCCTCGGCAAATCACTATTAAGAATGAAGAAAATGTCCCTTTTCTATTCAAGTGTGATATGCAATCCTTCAATGACACCGTACGCGCACTTTTATTTCAATTCTATTAAGCATAGGCGTAGCTGGTCGCACAGCTTTTCCTCGTCTCATTAATCTCTTTTTGCTTTCATACAGCACGAAATCCTCTGTCGAGGCCCCCTACTGCAGCAATCAAGGGCATGAAGAATCTGGAGAAGTTCTACTGTTCCGAGTGCAATCTCGGACCAACTCTTTCTCGAGGTGCCCTGGAATTCCAGAGCAAGGCCTTGAATGTAGTAACGCTCGAGGGGAACAACATCTCCGAATTAGAGAAAGGAGCCATCACAGGTATAACGCCTCCTTACATCTGATTATGGAAAATACCCACATCATACTCGTTATAAATACCGGTTTAGACATTTGATCCATGAGGTGTAAATTTCGACCATTCCAATGGAAAACCTACCTTGTTAGCCGACATTTATGGGATATCTGGTTGTTTGTCTTGGAAGAGGGAAACTCGAATTTCCTCCGAAAATTATTCCAGGAACCAATTCATCTAATATATACCTAGGTATAGACGATTGTGACTGACTGACGCTAATTCTAACCATGTTCTAGAGAAGTTACAAATCTGAAACTTGGTACACAAGTAGCTATTGGGATGCAGAGTTCAGGAAAAATCCAACTTTGGAGGTACATGCCCTGGGGGAAATTTTAGGAGGGACTGATTTTGCAAGCCTAGGCCCAGCCCCCCCCCCCCCGGACGGAGGTTTAGGCCTACGCCATTCTCATGCCCACATTCCTTCCTGTGTCTTTGAAGGAATTATATGTAATTCCTAGGTTGTTCACTCAGGAGGAATTCCGACTTCGAGAGGGGATTGAGTTACATGCCCTGGGGGCAATTCTTAAGGGGCTGATTTCGCAGGCCTACGCCTAACCCAAGGATGGACGCTTAGGCCAAGACCATTCTCATGCTCCACACTCTTTTAAGGAAGCGGACTGGAAAACAAGCAGCTGTTCACTTGCAAACTACAGATAACTGTTCGCCCTTAGAGGTACGTGACCTGAAGGGACTGATTCAATAATCCCATATCTAACGTTTGGTCTGACGCTCAGGCCTGCATCGGTCTCGTCTCGATGGCATCGAGCAATTTTTCGGCCTATTTGAACGGAAAACTTGCTGCGGCGAGGAATGCGGCGCGTGGTTTTTGCCCTATGCCTTTCTATGGCACAGATTAGGTTGAAGGACTTGGGTTGATGTGTACCGGTAAGTTTGTGCATGCGACTTAGTTTAATATTTTTGTGGCAGGGAAATGGTATGGAAGATTTTACCTCGAATTTCCGAATTAGAGTGGTTATGTCCAATGCAGGATGTTTAGACCAATGCCATTTCTAAGCTCATACATCAACTAAGGAACGTAAATATCCAAAGACTGCCTTGATGAATGACGTATTTCTCATGTACAACTTTATATAGCATTAGAGTTAGAAAAAGGGATTCCTTAAAAGTACTGGTCCCAAAATATAGACATGTAGATAATGAAAGAACTCCCAATACAGTGAACGTAGTCTATAGAGAGTTATTGCGTTAAAATTCTCAAGTGGCTTATGTGGTTCATGTGGCTGCTATTATTCACTTCTACTTTTTTGGAGATCGATATGCAATCAAGAGTGTGTCGACCATAGACAGGAACTGAATTCACAAATGAAACACTAAGAGACGCACTGACAAATGTTACTTGGTGATCCACATGCCACAAGTCGCATGGTGTTACTAAGAATATGCTCTAAGACACCTTTTTTTAAGGTGTCAGAGCCAAAGGTGTGGAAATTGAACCCATGAGCAAAGGAGTTTGACCGAATTACCAGGGGTGAGCATCGAAAACGGATGCCTTGCACTCAAATTCATTAGTAATTTCCCTCGGTGGCAGAGCGCCGAAGGGCAAACAAACTGTATTTCCAGACAACTGGCTTGCAAAAGCTTTGTGCCATCCTCCGATTTTGTTGTTTGTCTTCAGAACGTCTTGAAGTGTTCCTAAGTTTTGATTCCAGAGCTTGATGTCGAAATTTGGAGCTGGTCGACCGTTTGTGAAGTGAGGATGGCGCTGTTGTTTTCATCCTTGAAAAATGCAGTTTCTATCGGATCTTCGAAGGCCTTTTCAACGTCTTCAGGGAGAACGAATGCCAAGGCGGAGATTTTTCGAATATTGAAGGCGACATTTGGGTCTTCTGTATTTTGATATCGTACTTGCAGTTTTTTGCAGAATTTTGCGCCTGATACTTTGATTGAAACGAAAAAAGCATCCTCGCATTTCGGCGTTCGGAAACACATCCTTAAAGGCGTTGATTTCGGCTTGCTCGAAGTCAGTCCGTATCGACTTCGGATCCATAGCTGGCTTTTTCTCGCGGAGGATACGAAGTGTCTTCACGTATGTCTCTTTCGACTTGTTTGGAAGCGGAGCGAAGATCAAGGGGAGAGCCGTCTTGAACTTGATCGCGTGAATGGTCCAGAGTTGAGTGAAGTGAGGGGGGGGGCAGTTTTGAATGTCTCATCAGCCATCCAGTAGTCGGATTCGGCGAGAATGTTCAAATTCTTTTGAGTGGCGACGATCAAAATCCGATCGCTGTTGGCGCC